TCCGAGGGACAGGTGTAAAAATTTACCAGCCGCCTCGATCAGTGCGATTGTTTGGCTGGCTGTCGTTCCCCTGCTGCAGCTTTCAGTGGTGTGTCTTCCATGCAACTTTATTCCTAATATAACTTTAAAAGATACCAAGGAGGGTTCACCTGATGGGTGTCCCAGAACAGCATGATCCCGGCGGGTGCTTTTGAAATGTCCTGTTTGCGTTTGGATTGCAACATCTTCATATAGATGTATTTTATCATTTTAATAAATGCAATAAAATTTTATTTTGCAGTCACTGGATGTAATAGAGCACAGTCCTCCTCTCTTTTTTTTTTTTTTTTTTTTTTTTTTTGGCAAGCGCCGGGGGTTCTTCTGTGCTACAGCGGGTACTTCTAGGTGATCTCCATTTACATTGTTATTTTCCTGCCAGAGGATCTCAAATCCTTTTATAGACTTCACCTAATACTAACGGGTGGCCGCTTCATGAGTGGGACATGGCAGCACAGACACGTCATGTCATAGGAAGTTTAACTGGAACTCGTGTAACCTGTTTTACATTGGGAATGCTTTAAACAAAAATACACATAATGTCCTACCATCCTGATAATGCATTTTACTAATCACACATCCTAGACTTAATCAGTTTTAGAAAATACTGGCATTCATCCTCTCCAATAGTGCGGAATCCTCTGCCAACTTTGAGCACCTGGCCCAGGTAGTACCGAATTTTTAGGAGCCCACAGCCTTTGTCTAGCTGCTGCTGATAAACTCAGCAACACAGCACTCATTTCTGCTAGTGAGAGCACACGAAAGGATACAGCTTTTGTTTTGCTTAAAAGACAGCTTCGGGAAATATGACATATAAATTGATATTATCTTGCCATTTTAATAATCTGACACAAATTGAAAATCCTGAGTTTGCTTGAGACAGAGTGGCATTGCGCAAGTGGCAGAAAATGTAGAGTCAGCATTCTTACAGGAGGGTAATACAGCAGACGTGAAGAAATTTTTGAAAATGATGAGAAAGTATTTGGAACAATATAAGGCTGAAAATGTAGCTTTATAATATATACCAGTGCTTGCAGCTAAAAAAAAGTGAGCAGGTTATTTTATAACACATGAACAATATTTTTAGTCGTAAAATCCCATCTCAAAATGATCTTTAAATTCAAAGTGAAATAGCATCACAGGCTGACCTAGCCACCAGTATTGAATTAGCTTCGGGATGATTATTCTTTTTTAATGTTTATGTTCATGATTAAAGCCATGCTGTTTGCATGCTCTGATTCTGCAAAAACAGCCATCAGCTAGTGAACAAAGGGCAGATAATATTTGTTAAGTTTGGAGATTTTTTTCACTCTTCTCAGAAACTGCTCAGTGATAGCAGCTTCATCTTCACAGTTCTGAAAACATCCAAAATCGTGTCTTCCTGCTAGCATGTGGTTGTACATCTTCAAACTAATTTTTTTTCTATACGGCATAATCAATGTCTTACTGGAGGCATCGGAGCAGGCTGGATCTGTGCCCCACCACACAGCACCACTTTGAAACAGGAGAGTTTTGTGTCTCAGTTTCTCTCTTCTTGAAACCCATGAGAAGGTTTAGCTCTGGAGGCCCTCCACAGATCACAGGCATTGTCCGGACCCTGCAGTTTCACTAAATAGTCCCTTCTTTCAAACAAAAGCTGCCATGGAAATTCTGTTGTTTAAGAGCTTAATCACTTAGTTGGAAGAATCCATGTGTAAGGTTGGGCAAATTACAAAAGGAAGTAGAATACTGTTTTGAATTGTTAAGACATTTCTATGGCCAAGCAACACGTTACCGTAATTTGGTCTGGAGTGGTTTGTTGGTTTTTTTTCTTTTGCCTTTCAAAAATATATCCATCTTCAGAATATTTCACCTGGGGTTTTAACTGCTGTGCTGGAAAGAAACTTTAAAAAAAGGAGAGAGAACTGTATCTCAACAAGGACAGGGGTATTCATATCTCAAAACAGGGCCAGAGCAAAGGCTAAAGCTCAGAAGAGCAACTCACCCTGCAGTTATGCAAACACAGAGCAGAGGATCTGGTGCTCTCTGTTCCGTAGATAAGCACAGTTTCTCAATTGTCTGGTATTTTTGACAGATTTTTGCAAGTGTGTAGAATGTGTGTAGAATATGAATAAGTCACATTTAAATGAGAAGGAATACGTTTGTATTTGTTTTGTCCAAATGTAAGTAACAAAATCTGTAAGATACTAGAGAACAAGAAGACAAGCTTTTAAAAACCTTCTCTCAAATTTTAGTGTGGAATTCAATCGGGAATGGGGCAGAGACGTAGTGAGGTATGAATTTGCTAACACTTTTTCACCATATAAGCGTTTTTTATTTTCCTTCCCATATTCAGTCTTTTATAAGCCCAGCACTGAGAACCTCTTGAAAATCAAAAACCAGCAAGGCCATCTTCCCTTCAAGCTCTGAAAAATGTGCAATCACCTATTAGAAGCAGATGATGTTTGAAGTCGTATATCTAAACTTGCTGTAGGGAAGGCGTTTCAGGTTAAAAAAAAAGAAAGAGGGACCTGGTCTTGGAAGATTTTGTCCTCTGCAGTCATCTGCTCTGATGCTAATTTTCTTTTGAGTTATTGTCATTGATGTGCTTCTGAGACGTTCTACCTACGCTTGGATGAGAGATGCAGTGTGTGAAAAGGCTGGAAGAAAAGGAATGCAAAAACCTCATGTCTTCAAGAAGCTGGCAGTTCTGACCTGCAGTATCTTTCTCCAGTGATGCTGGACATTTGAGGATGTCAGCACTATATGGCACAAATATTTAAAGGATCAGGGGATTGTCACCAAAATTTTTTTCTGCTGGCCTAAACCTGTGTTACAATGTTCTGTTCACTGGGTACAAAAATTTGCCTGTTTTGATTTTGCTGATGGTAGAAGTGTTGGAATAGGAAACAAAGTAGGTTTATTCCCTTTATGATGCATGGTAGTTTGTATCTCTACCCTTTACAATTAGTTTATTTTTTTTCCAGTGGTGTGTTTGATTAAAATAAAATAAGTTGATCCTTTTGTAAATTTTTCATCAATTCATTACATCGTTCCCCATGTAGGTGATTGGCCATCCCAAGTACCAAGAATCCAAAAGAATCGCAATCTTTCTGAGCATGCCAGATGAAATCCAGACAGAAGAAATCATTAAGGACATTTTTAAGCAAGGCAAAGAGTGTTTCATCCCACGTTACAAGCCTCACAGCAATCACATGGACATGCTGAAGTTATCATCAGCTGAAGACATTTCTTCACTTACTTTGACATCCTGGAATATTCTTCAGCCTAGTGATGATGACAGTGCAAGAGAGGAGGCTCTTGCTGGTGGTGAGTATGTTCTTCCTGCATTATGAGGTTGTTGAGCAGGAGTAGCCTTGAGGCCAGTAGGAAATAATCTGATAGCAAAAGTGAAATGAAACATTACACTTTGGTTTTGTATGTTATAGAGGTGCTTAAGTCGATGTAAGGAGATGCTGCTTTCTCTTGCCTGTTTTTCTCTACCCTGTGCCACCCCTGTGATATGCCAGCAGGGCAGGAACAAGACTGCACAGTTGATCCAGCTAGAGGAAACCCACCCCTCCAGATAAATCACCTCCCTGCTCTGGTTCATGGGTATCCTCAGTGCAGTCTTGGCAAGCATAACATAGAGGCTCGCGAAGGAGACAGGGGCTTGCCAGGAGTGGCTTGGGCTGCTGGTGAAAGTCTTGGGGGATTCCCAGTTTGAGGATGCACTCTGAGAACTTTAGTTTGCGCTGTCTGAAAGGTAGGGAACTTTTCAGGAGGTGCCTGTAGGCTGACACAAGAATTTTCTGAAATCTTTGATCCTGCAAATTGTATTGCCTGGATGAATCACAGAGCTGATATGGAGCCTCCCATGCAGAACGGCTCTCCGGACTGAGACCTTAGACTGAAAATAAAAGGACTTTCTTGTAGGCTTGGATGAATATTGCTAAATTTTTCCCATCATTTTTCTCTCACATTTTTATTTTGATCTTATAATGTTGTCTCAGACACCAGATTCTTCATTGGGTTGAAAGTTAAGTTTACTTAGACCTAGCTCATGTCATGTGTGTTTCGGTCTCAAAATAGCCTCTCTCTTTCTTAACCTAAAATTCCCCAACTTGTTCAGACTTGTAAACAAACTTACTTTTTCTGTGTCTGCATTCATTATTTGCATTCTTCTTGTAAACATGTTAATATCTTCCTGAAACATCTGCAGAAATGTTTAATCTTATTAATGGAAAACTCATGTTGAACTCATGCTTGAAACCTCAGTCTGGGAAAATTTTCTCTAGGTGGAAATTCACCGTGCAGCCAGATTCTACACCTCACAGACGTACCGGCTTCTTAATGCTCAACAAGGGAACATAACATTTCTATGACTCTGACTGAACTTGGGTTTGTATTTGCTTTGGGATGTCAGTGTACTTTCCCAGAACACTTAATTGTGTTTGTTTCTCCTTTTTCATCTCTGCCTCTTTCCTAATGCAGAATCCTTTCTGTGTCCCCATTTTAGCTAGCAAGGGATTTCACTGCTTCATGCAGCCATCTTCTTTACGTCTAATATGGAAAACATGTTACATGTTTTCCTAATTTCTGCCAAAAAATTGTGTATGTTGGTGGGATTTAGGGCCTTTTGAAAATAATCCTTAACATGTCCAGGGTTCTGTTGACTGAGCTTAGTTCAGGCACTCAGGGCAAGCTTCTGTACTACTAATGAGCTGCTGTTAATTGAATTGAACAAGTCCGTTAGAGAGATCCCAGAGTAAACACACAATTTTAGGTGTGATGGGAGCAAGGACTACCTGGTGTAGAGAGCACTGGGATGTATCGGCTGGGGATGGCCCAGGTGCCAGGCAGTGAAAATGGGGGAAGGCAGGAGCAAGATTTGGTATGTGGCTAGTTCTGGAGCTGCTGTTTTGTTCTCTGCACCAGGGTTTGGTTATGGGCAGCGAGCAGTGCCGAGAGCTACAGCAGTCTGCAGAGAGATGCCAAAAGAGCTACAACTGGCAGTTGTAACAATTGGTCTATGTCCATGTCAATCTTGTTCTGCCTGAAGTTTGATTTTAGTCTGATGTACTGAGTCATTTAGGAATAATTCTATTTGGATTGGAAGTGAGACCTTGGTCCTTCATCCTAGGACGGTTTTTGTAGATTAGAGAATAAGTTTAGGGTTTTTTCGCTATTGCATAATCAGCCCCCCTCCCAGTTTGTCCCTGCAGAAACACACACTGCGTCTCAGTGTGTCTTTAAATACCTTTTGCTATATTTTTCGTGTCAGTTATTGTATTTTGTGAACTTTGGTA